TTGATGTCCTCAGCAGAAGTCCCCGGTCCCCTGACTGGGTCGCTTGCGGCTGCGGTTGGTCTTCCACTTGGGATTCTGAAACAGAAGTAGAGGAAAAATGCTAGCTCGCAAAGGAAGGTATCGTAGTCATGTTGGTTAGTGACAATTAGTTGGGTTGACTAATCGTTAGGTGGCTTTTCAGCACCAGACTTCCGTCCGCGTTTGAGGTTTCTATCATATGCTTTTTGGAACGTGCTTTTCAAGGCATTTTCAAGCGCTCAAGAATCCACGCTTGGCGACCCCTTTGACATTCTAAAGACCCCTGACAAAAAAGGAAGTTAAAGGAATGCAGTATGTCTTATCGAAGACAACATTATAAGCACCCATCTCAAAGAAGGCCCTTTCGCCGGCCAAAGAAAGTTAAATGCGCTGTAACCTTGTCAGCAAAGGTAACCAGCTCCAAATAGGCGTTGGGAGTGTCGCCGCCCATGGACACCAAGTAGGCCGTCTGGTAACATAGGTTTAATGTGTCGGGTCACTTACCACTCGCTGCCTTTAATCCGACTTAGATAAAGTCAGCTCAAATTCATCCAGGGCGGTTACAATGGTCATCTGCTTTATAATTAGTCCCTGAAGAGGGATTATGATGCCTGGGGTTTTTTGGCAGCCCATCTAATACTACAATGCACCTCTTCCTCCACTGGATGTCGTAATCTCCGTTGTGTTCTTTGTCCCCGTCTGCAGGTAGGTTCGGACACACACGCCTCCAAATATTCAAAAGGCTATTTAGGGGAATAATCGATATGCGTGAGTTTAGTGCCCACGATCGCAGGGCATCTCTCGTGCCCAGCTCCCTCTCTGTTGGAGGTGAACTCGAAGTTTCGCCTGGTACGCTGTCGAACATCAAAGCGCCGTCGAGGCAGTGATGCGACCGCCCGGCAGCGTGACAGTGCCAGAAATGGCGTGAGATAGCGTGCCCGCAACTCTCAGCACAAAGTCCGATCGATTTTCCAATAGCTGTGTGCGCACGCGTTCAAGACCTTAGTAACGCCTCTGCGAGTAGTCTGACAACCAATTGATTTCAACCACGAAATAACAATGAAAAATCGAGACTCGGTTCGCTATTCTTTTGCTATTAGGATATATTATGGACGGTCTCTGTTCCCATGTCCTGCTAGGGAAACATTAAAATAATCCCAACTTCATTTTTGGTCAACAGAGAAGAGCGTTGTAGAGCACAGAATGACTGAAGTTCTAGACCTATCTTGGCGGTCTTATGAACGAGTCTAATGCACAACGCGATTCAAAAGAATATTGCTATTCCTAGTGGTACTCAATGACCTATTTTCGCAGAACAAAAGAACGTGTTCGCTATGATAATTTTCAGTGACCATGTAAGCTGGCACACAGGACAGGACAACAAGAAATCACTATTCGTGGCCAGTAGCTTTCAGGTCTAGTGATGCTCCTGCAAAGGTCAGAAGACCTAAGTTCTGAAAACAGCAAGTGTTAACCAACCGGTTGTGTGACTCGATCTATTTTAACTGAAGGACAGAGACGGACCTTTCGTTTCCCTTTGAAACTGAGGATCTGCAACCCACAAATGCGGTCTGATGGCAACTAGCATTTAGTAATTTCAACGTTTTGCCGAAAACGGCAGAGATGCTGGACGAACAATTGTTGACTTATTTGTTTGTCTCGGAAGATGATAGCCCCAAACCGCTGGCTCCATACCCGAGCGAACTCTTTTCCACCAGCGATTGTT